AAGATAAAAAAAAAAAAAAAAAAAAAGAAAGTTAATTTTAAGGCAGACAATGGGCAAGTGGGTAACATATGGGCAAGGGATGGCATCCATCAACTCCTTCCTTATTCTAACATTTTATTTTATGAAGTTTATATCGTAATATTATAAGTAGGTAGTCTTACACTCTTTTTTTTCTAAAAAAATTCTAATATATCAATTTTAATTAATTATTATTATTATTGATGACCCGTGCAAAAAGTTTTCATGCTTGCAATTGACTCTTTGACCCATCACCATAACGCTACAATGGGTAAAAATGATGGGATGAAAGAGATATATAGAGGTGTGTGTTTGTGTGGTTTTCTTTTAAAACAAATTAAACAATTAATCAATCTTAAAAAGAGATTAGAAATGCTAATTTAGGTCACTCTTGTTTTTTTCTTTTGTATAATTAAAATTAAATTTAATTTGAAAATTAAATTAAGTGAAGTAAAAGTCACTTAACATGTTACTTAGGGGACTAACCATTTTATTTAATCTCATTTTTTTGGAATTAGATTGTTTGGACCCGGCGGCCGGCCCCTTTACTTATTGGAATTTGGATATTTACCCCCAAAAATCATCTATTGCATTTTACTTTGTTCCTTTCTTGGCAAAAATCAAATCCAAAAAAAAAAAAAAAAAAAAAACGAAAAGAAAAAACAATAAAGCCCATGATTGGTCATGATTGATAGCAAACGATTAGGTTCAGGAATATAAATATAAATATATCTATATCAATATATATTTCTTCAACTAAAAAAAGTCTTGTTGGATAATTTTTAATTTTTAGATCCAAATTATCAATTTATATTTTTGTAGATTAGAAGAAATCAACAACAGTCCCTGATATGCGGCTGCGTTACGGAACCCCGATGCGTGCACTCTTCCTGCTTTTTCTTTCCAGCAGGCATTGCCCGTAAATGTGCCAATGCAATGCTCGAGGGAATACTGGGACCCACACTCTCTCATCTAGATTTTTATCTATATTAGGAATTTGGATTATTTAATTTACAGCTAGATAAATGTTTTTACTTTTTCCAATATTAAATTTTATTTGTAGATGAGATGAATGATTAAAATATTTATTTTTAATTATGATAAAAAAAAGTTTAAGAAAATTAACATAATGTTACTCTCTAATATGATTATGAATGTCATTGTTAAAGATAATTCTAAATTCAATTCCGCCTCATTTAAATATTAAAGTTATAGTTCTTTCTTTTTTTTTTTTATAATAAATTTATTTTTTGGTATATAACATAAAACAATTTTTCGTATGATACATGAAAAATATAAAAAGAAATATGGGTATATAGTCTAAAATTCTAAAAATTTACGTATAATATCTGAAAATATTGTGTACTTGTAAAATCATATGATGAGTAAATTAAAATTAGAAAACTACTGCATAAGGAGTTCAAAACTAAAAAATCTATATAAAAAAGAAATTGTAAATTTTTTGAGTTTGAACTATCAAACTGAGAATTAGTAAGAAATGTTTAAATATATAGTTTTCGTGAAGAAATATATATATATATATATATTTGATTGAACTTTGAAAATGCGATGATCAAGACTATTTATGTTTATCCCGGAAATAAATTTTTCTACGGTAGGGTCACACCGGGCGATTAAAAGGGCTTCTGACAAGAGCCGGCAAAAGCCATTGATTCATTAAGGAGATGCAATGAAAAAGCTAAGCAAAATAAGTGCTTATATTTCCCTGCTTATTTACTCTCCGCAGCTTTTGGACTCTGCAGAAATTCCGTTTCTCATCTCCTTCAGCTTTCACTTCCTACATCGGACTGAACCACTCAATAAATGAGATTCCTATGGAATTTCAACTTTTTAAACATCAAAAACAATGTTGCAAAGAAAGTTTAGTCGAGAAATGAAAGAAAAATACTCCATAGATCATACTCGTGATCATTCTAGTCCTGTCATGAAAGAAAAAGATAAAAGAAACAGAGAATTTTGGAAGGGAGTAGAGAAGTAATTGATTTCAACGCCAAGCAAAAGCATATACGGATCCAGGAGTCGGCAGAGATTACACATTAGCAAAGGCATTCGGTTACATCGCGATGTACAGAGGAAACTCCTTAGCGATACAAAATTAAAGAGGGGAGAGGGGGAGGCAGACGTTACGTACACGTAGGTACGTCGTCGATGTATCAGACGGAAGAGAGGGCCAGGTTGGGGTCTTGAGAGGGAGAAACAGCCAAGAGGAGGAGAACGAGCATGATCAAAACCGGAACGATCAGGAGCAGCAAAGGAGGCGGCGGCAATGGCGGTAACAGGAGAGGTAGTAACAGCAGGGACAATCCCAGCACGACGAGAACCATGACAGATCTGCAACTAAAATACCTGATCATCAAACTCGAAGACGATCGCAGTGATGATGATGATGATGATGGGGTGGTGGAATAACAAACGATCGAGCTCACGAGTCATCCTCTTCGTCCATAGCCGTAGCATCGAAGAGCAGCTTGTAAAGGAACTCAGAACCTTGGAGCTTTATAAACAGCAAGCTTATACACAGATACATATACCTGTATATGCATGAGTATTATACATATATATATATGAGAAGAAGAATGAAAACAGAGAGATTTAGAATTTGAGAGACGCCTGAGGAGTGAAATGAACAAGAGAGGGACAAAAAGAGAAGAATGAAGGCGTTAGTATTACCGAGCCTAGTCGTTACCGGTCACTTTCAGTGGGCCCACTTCGTAAATGTCCCGATTCAACTAACCTCCCTCTGCTTACTACTTCCGGGACCTGTCCCAAGTCCAACTCAGCCTACGCTATATATATATTTTTTACTATAAATATATATCTTAAGAATTTTAAAATTTCATAAAAATTTATTTTCACTTTTTAATTCAAATAAATTAAAACATATAGAAATCTCAATTAATGAAATTCAACCTCCATATGAGTTGGGTTTTTCCCCTTCCCGAAAGTTCTAGGTAATTAATTAAATTTAATTAAATAATTAATACCTAAGCTGTGGGAACAAAAATTTCATTGTTAATTACGCAATTAATAAATAAATTTTATATTCTTAACCCACAGATTTGATTAAAGAAGTATATTTACGAGGTATAATTGATGGATTAGAATTAATCACGGATCCTACCGCACATGATACTTTTTTTTTTTTTAAAAAAGCATATATAGCCCGTATATGTATATTATTTTGATAACAATTTTATATGTTGAATTTTATATATTCACTAATTTTTGTATTTAATTTTAAATTAATTTATTTTAGAACTCTATATATAATTAAAATTAAATGTAAATAATTAATTAAAATAAAAAACTACACAAATTGCCATAAAATAAGTTTTTTAATAAAAAATCATACATTTCAACAATTATGTTGCACTTATATACTTATAATAATAGAATTAATAACAACAAAATCTAATATATGAAATTTTTATTATGATCATGGTAGAAAATTATATCCATATATGAATTAACCTAGATTGTTCATGCATGTGTGTGTACATGGCGTGCACCACCACCTATAGATACGTACACAGCCTCTTATTAAATCTTCACTTGTTAGCAGCTGGCAAATTTGAATTGAGTTGTTCACAAAAAGTGTAGCAAGTGGTACAAATGAGGATCCTGCAATTATACTGCCGATTTTGCATATAGATTAAATATAGTACAGAAAATGACATAAACCCAGTTTGGTTGAACACATACACACGCATATGTATGTAAACATTTATAATATATATATAGACACACAGATATATGCAGATCAAAGAGAAAGGATACATTGCATCTTCTGACTGAAAGAAAAATTCACAGCTAGCTCTGGTTCTAAACCAAATAAAGCAAAATGATTCTTTCACTTTTTCAGTCGACTCTCTGCGGTCAACTTCATTTTTCAGTATACATCTGTAAATGTGCTTAACCCATTCCCATTCCCATTCTTTAATCATTCTACACCATAGATAAAACCCATATTTATACTAATTTCTACATATATATTTTTTTTAATTTTTTATTATATATATTATTTATATCTATATGAAATTAATATTAGAACTTAGAATTGACTCTAACAATATTATATTAGATTTTAATAAAAATATATTTTCATACTCACGTGTAACATGGGGTATGTAGAAAAAAAAATTAAAATATAAATTGTAAGTAAAAAGAATGAAATATTAATAGAAATATTTAATATTTTTATTTGTGATTGTTGTAAAAAAATTTCAAAAAATCTTCAAGAGTAAACATGAATACAAGTTTTAAAATTCAAAATATATGTATAAATTCATGACTTATAATTAAATTTAAAATATTAACTATCTAAACAAATTTAAAAGACATATATCTAAATTTAATATATGCACAATTTAATAAAATTTAAAATACGTATATTTAAATCTAATACACGATTCAAACAGAAAAAAAAAAAAATCAAAATATATATATTTATAACTTTTAACTTTTTTAAAAAATAAACAGTTACTTTAATTTATAAATTATGAACATATATAAAATCATTATAAACCCTCATATTAAATTGGCTAGTAGATATATTAATTTAACCTTATGCAAAATACACATTTTGTGTCTTTATTCAAAATTCAGTGCACCGCTAGCTTTTTCACTTGGCTATAAAGGAATAGTTAAAGAGCCACCACCTCTATAACACATGTTGGCTAATTTGGTTCTGAAATATTGCCACCCCGGTTCACCCCAACTTGCTACTCCAAACCAATAATTTTAATCCACATTGAAATTTATAAATTATGTATGTATATATGTATGTATGTATATATAATACATATAGACATATTTTAATTGTTGGGTATCAATAATATTTTCTTTTGTTGAATTTTTTGAATCATTTTTCAGTCAATGACTTTCCCCAAATTGCACTTTCATTTTTGGCCAGCAAAAAATTAATCAATAAATTACAGAAAATATAATCAATTCCTAGGGAATCACCATGACTGATCTCTCTGAGAAGGACTCCGCCAGAACCCAGTACCATAAAACCGGTCCCACATCTCTTTATCCAAATCAACGGCCTCATTTGCACCATCACAGTCGCCGGCGTCGGCGTTTAAGTTCTCGGCCACCAGTTTCATCTCTGCTTCAACATCCATTCCGGCCGGCCAATTACTTCCCTCTTGACATTTCCCGACGGACAAGTCTCCAGCGAGTAAACCCTTTCGCCGTTTTCTCCGCTGTCTCATCCTTTTCCTCCATGCCCTCCTGCAAAGTCCGGTGGGCACTCGGTAGACGGCCAAGATCAGCATGTCCATCAACGTGAACGGACAGCAGCAGCATACGGCCGTGAACTCCGCCGCAGCCCCACCCACCACCTCTCCCACCTTCTTCCCCTTTTTCTTCTCATTCGTCAATTTCGCCTGTCCCGGCGTCGTTTTAGGAGTCGAGTTCAATGTTTCAACATCCGACGGCGAACGAGTCACGGCCGCCGATGGTAGAATTGTCTTGGGAGTTATTTTCTTCACCTGCATGATGGGTTGACTTGGTGGTTCCCCCCCAGTCAACGAAACTTATAATAATAATAATAATAATAATAATATCTTATTCTTTTCCTTCTTGTTTGGGGTGCAGCGGAAAAACAAAAACAATGTTGAGGTCGATTTTACCAGGGATTTTCTCGAGAAAATAAAATAAAGAGAAAGTTTGAATCTGCTTCCCTTCGTTCATCTTATGAGTATGCAAAAAGAAACGCGGGTAATTAATTAATTTAAAATTCGAGGAATTTAATCACAAGACGACTTTTAATAATCAAGTAAACAATGATATTAATTAATCAAAAAAGGAGAATTTATATGGAATAATTAGGATTACCTGGGAAAGAGACGTGGGTTCGGAATTACGATACTCGACATGCATGCAGAGATTGCATGACAGGGAAAGAAGGTGGGAGGGACCGGTGGGGATCTGATAATTAGTGGAATTAGGGTATGAGGGTTATGATTAAAAATATGAATTGGATTTAGTTAACACAAGCTGGAAAATTTACCTCTTTTTAATCAACAGCTGGAAAAGCTATTCGACAGATATGAAGGGAGGATGGGTAAAATTCAACTAACAATAATTGACTTAACGTTTGGGAAATTAATTATTAGTGATTCTAAATTTAAGCTATTGACTTTTCAAGAGAGTGAATTGGAAATTTTTTTTTTATTTTTTATTACAAAATATCTTTATGAAAATCATACAATTTCAATTATATCGGTTTATATGTATTATTTATTTTGCCATATAATATATATCCATTTATTTTTTCTGTATAGTTGGTAAATTTTATTTAATTATTTAAAAATAAATCTCTTCTAAAAGTAAAAAAATCATAGATAACTCTTGCAGTAAGTAATTAAGTTAGTACATTAAGTACTATTAATACATGATTTATTTCAACATCAAAATAATATGTAAATATATATTGACTGACATGTATATTATTTTCTGGCAAGTAAAATTAGTTAACACTTACAATTTTAATTTCCAGGTTAGCGATCTATTCTTGTCACTTATATTATTTTCGATATGATTTGATTTATTGTGTTTAATTTTAAAAATGTAATTATATAATTTAATATGAATGAAATGAATGAATGAATGCTAATGCTAATAATACTAATCCAATTTGATGACACTCGCCCAATTATGAAATGTGTAAATTAAAATTGAGATCTTGATTATTAATCATGTTTAAAATTATATTCAACAAGTAAATACCAAAAATTCATATGGCAAAAACCTAGTGGTGGTTTAGAACCGCTGGTAAAAGTCTAAGTTCTCCCCTAAAATAGAAAGAATATACGTTCGCAAGACAAAATTTTTAGTGGCAGTCCTCTTTGTCAATTGTTCTTCCTTTGAGATACTTGATATCGCTAAAGCTTTTGAAAATGGCAGAGAAAATCTCCTTTTTATTTGTAGTCATATATATATATATATATCTTTCTCTCTCAAAAGAAAAAAAAATTAGTGATTTGGGAAAAACCTGGACCATAATTTTCTAATAGTAAAAGATGTAAATGTTAAGATTTTATTATGTATTTAAGAATTATTACTTATTGATTAGTTGTTATTTAATTTAATAGTTATGAAATAGTAGAATAGTAGTGACTCAACTATGGAGTAATGGTCTCTTAATTTCAGGAAGTATAATTTATTGGGTTACTAGTTTTCTTAATGGGTTAGTAGTAATTTATCTTTTATGACGTTTGTTTATATTTTGTTCTATTTAAGTAGACTAATTTCATCAGTAAAAATTACTTAAATTCAGTTCAATTCTTCTATAACTCTATTTCTACATTTGGTATCAGAGCTAGAAAAAAAAAATAATTTTTTGTTATGCAGCAGCACTAGACATCCATGACATCAGAGAATAGTTATGTGCAACCTACAATCCCTCATTTTGATGGTTATTATGATCATTGGAGCATGTTGATGGAGAATTTTCTCCGACCCAAAAAATACTAGAGTGTTGTGGAAACAAGAGTGCCTAAACTAGCTCTTGGAGTGATGTTGACGAAAGCTCAATAGAAAAGAATAGAAGAACAAAAATTGAAGGATCTCAAGGCAAAAAATTATCTGTTTCAAGCAATTGATCATGCCATTTTGGAGACGATTATCCAAAAAAATACTTGCAAACAGATTTGGTATTCTATGAAAAAAAAAATCAAGGCACAACAAGGGTCAAACGGCTACAGCTTCAAGCCTTTCGCAGAGAATTTAAAATTCTCCATATGAAGCTGGGAGAATCTGTTGATGAGTGTTTCTCAAGAAAACTAAGCATAATGAACAAGATACGTATTCACGACGAAAGAATCGAAGATGTTGCTGTGGTGGAGAAGATTCTTAGATCAATGGCTCTAAAATTTTCTTATGTTGTATATTTTATTAAGGAGTCGAAAGACCTTGATGAGTTTTCCATCGATGAATTGCAAAGTTCGTTACTATTGCATGAGAAGAGAATGACAACAACTTCAACCGATGAGCAAATCCTGGAAGTTTTAACTCACGGTGAAATTTTTACAGGGAGAGGATCACATGGCCATGGTCGAGGTCGTGGTCGTTGTCGTGGTCGTGGATGAATAAGAGGTAAAGGTTCTAACACATTAGAATATCGAAGAAGAAGTAAAGGAAATGATAACTACAATCAAACAAAATTTAATAAGTCTAATATTGAATGTTATCATAGTCACAAGTTTGGTTATTACAAGTCTGAATGCACTGCAAATTTACATTCCAACAAAAATGAGCAGTCCAACTTTGTAGGAAAAGAAGAACAATAATACTCTTGATGGCGTTTCACATCAAGGAGGACAAACATGAACAAAAGATTTTGTATTTGGATACAGGATGCAGCAATCATATGTGCAGCAGTAAGTCATTTTTCTCTCACTCGAATGAACATTTTCATAATAATGTGAGCCTTGGTGATCATTCTAAAGTTAGTGTTATGGGAAATGGTGATGTTCAAATCAGGACTAAAGAAAATAATATTGCGACTATATCAAATATTTTTTATATTCTTAGCTTAAAAAACAATTTGCTAAGTATGGGACAGCTGCAAGAAAAAGGTTATGAGATTATAATAAAAGGAAGAGCGTGTGAAGTCTATGATCTTAAAAGATGTCTAATTGCTCATATCAAGATGACACCAAACAGATTGTTTCCGCAGCGAATCTAGACCATCTAGACATGCTTTGTGGTCAAGATGAACAATCCAACATGGCTATGGCATTTTCGTTTATGGCCACCTAAACTTTAATGGATTGAAGACCCTTTCTCAAAATAACATGCGAGTGTCTTAGCTCAGATTCTTCCTCCTTCCAAAATATGTGAAGAATATGTTGTTAGTAAACAACATCGAGATCAATTCCTAAAATGAAAGGCAAGAAGAGCTAAAAAAAGATTGGAGCTGATTCACTCTGAATTTGCAATCCTATTAATCCTGTATAAAATAGAAAAAAAAATATTTTATTTCTTTTATTGATGACTATTGTCGAAAGATATGGTGTTGACAATTTAATTTAGTTATAATTACCTAGAGAATAAATTTATAAATTAAAAAATACTCAATGCTTTATTGATAGAAAAAACATAAGTTTTACAACACTCACAAGATAAAATTTCATACCCCAAACCCATTATGCATTAGCTTGTTGAAGCTAATAATTCTCACTTAATTTTTTTTACCTCATGTCCTAAATATTTTTCTTTTCCTCACACTTGTCTATATTTTATATTTTCCTAAACTTATTTATATAAATAGAAAGGTTGTCGTTTTGCCTTCACATTCTTTATTATTTTTATTCATTTCTCCTCTTTATTGTTGTCGCTTCACCTTCGTCTCTTTATTATAAATTAATTAAAGTTTTAATTTCAAACATTAATTAAATCAAGTTTAATTATCCAACACGAGTATACTTTTTGCAGAAAAAATCTTAAATTTTAATGGTATTTAAAATTTTAAAGCTCAAGTGGAGAATGAAGCATGGACTACCATTAAAACACTACGCATTGATTGTGGTGGTGAATACATATCCTATGAATTCTCAAAATTTTGCAATGAGTAGGGAATTCAGAGGCAAATGACAGCAGGTTATACACCCTAACAAAATGGTGTAGCAAAGAGGAAAAATCAAACCATTCTAAACATGGTTAGAAGCATGGTGGCAAATGAAAGAGTTCTAAAATTGTTTTGGCTAGAAGTAGTAAATTAGAATGTTCGTATTTTGAATAGGTTCCCCACACTTGCTGTTCAAAATATGATACTTGAAGAAGCTTGGAACGACATAAACTAGTAGTTGATTATTTTTAAATTTTTGGGTGCATTGCATATGCATATATTCCAGATGAAAAGAGAAAGAAAAATGTACTTTTATTGGGATCAGTGAAAAGTCAAAAGCTTGCAAATTATTCAATCCTATTGCAGGTAAAATTATTATCAACCGAGATCTTATTTTTGATGAAGGAAGTATATGGAACTGGACTGAAAAAGATGCAAGTGAACAAAAAAAACCTATGAATTTTGAAGAAAAAAAGAAGAAGTAGAAATGTAAGGGCAAGCAACTCTCTCTGATGTTCATCAGCAGCAACAGCAGTAACTTGATAATATTAAGACCCAAACAATAGGTGAAAACTCACGAGCTTAATGAATAAGAAAAAGACAAACATGGATGGATGATTATGAGATTAGTGGTGTTCAATCTGATGATACTCTTGTTCATTTTTCTCTATTATCATATTGCAATCCAATAACATTCCAAGAAGCTGTCAAAGATACAAGACGGTGAAAAGTAATGGATGAGAAGATCAAATCTATTGAGAAAAATGACACATGGGAACTTATAGAACTTTCGAAAGGGCAAAAATTCATTAGTGTTAAATGGATTTATAAAACTAAGCTGAACAAATATGACAAAGTTGAGAAGTATAAAGCTCGGCTCCTCGCAAAGGGATATAAGCAGGAATATGGCATTGATTATAAGGA